GCTGCGGCTTACACTGGTTACTATACGCGTTATTTCCGAGTCTCATTTTATATATCTTTTATAGAAAGCGAATAAGCGAGGGATGGGAAGACGGAGGCGGCGAAGCGTGACGGAAAAGTAAGGAAAGAAGGAGGTTGGTTTTTGACTGTGACATTTATTAGTCCTCGTACTGGATCAGTGGCGGTTTGTACAAGCCTAATAGAATTGTTTGCTGCGTTTGAATATAAATGTTCCAGCTGTCCATCAGTGTTTACCTGAGATCAGCGAGCTGATAATCAGTGGTAAAATCATAAGTTTCAGCATGTGCATCAACATTTCACCGGGAAAGCTAACTAATACGATTGACTGCGGCGTGAGATTGAATGAGCGCATGATGAATCCAAGCCCGATACCCGTCAAAACGGAACCGATCGTCAACACCAGCAGTAAATTTCGCCTCAACCAACTCGCCATTCCTGCAAACTATTGAAATTCAGGCTTCGGGACGCCTATTCGTTTTCTTGGTTCCACTTTACCGTCGAAGACATGGCAGAGACTTGCTATTCACGTAAAACCGAGTTTTAAGAGATCACAGGAAGACTACTAAAAAGGACCAACGCCTGAAGGACCAATAGGTTTTTCGGGAACAGCTGTTATGAACGTACGGCAAACAGCCTAACATCGTAACTCTAGTTATCATATAAAGCGGAAACAATGTTTGCAATGCTGTGAAATTTGGTGGCCGGATTTCAAGTCATTTACGTCAAGTCATTTACTTAATTCCAGGTCATTTTCGGCAATCCGGCATTTAGAATCTGGAATTCTAAGTTTCATAAATTAGCTCAAGAAGACATATTAGCTTAATTTTAATTAAAAGTTAGCGGATACAAACAGAGATCATGGATTTGAAAGTCCGTTGCGTGGACCACTAAACATAGTTTTAGGTTTTATTTCCGAACTTCTACTTTTCCTTACTCCTTACTAGTATATCCGGAAATGTTTTCGAGAGAAGGATGGGAGGGGTGGGATGGAAGGGGGGAGAGAGGAAAACATTTTTTTCAAGAAAAGAGGGCACTTTCAGCAATTAGAAAGTGTTTTATAGACTTTTTAAAAGGATTTTATTAATGAAAGTCCTTAGAGAGCATCAGATGCATAAAGTAAAGAATATCGCGCGGTTTACTAAAGAAAGAAAAAACGCTTTGTAACTTGATACGCTCACATGCCTCGTTATATAATTCTACTTAAAATTTACAAAAGCACAGAGATGCAGTAAAATTAGCTTTGAGCGCGCATGGAATCGTAAATCTTGAATCAGCTTGCATCTCTTTCCTTGTCCTGGCCCGTGATCTCAAGTCCATACTCACATTAACTTTACATCCCAAATAAACAAAGATAAGGAACTGGAGCTAACGACGGCTTAATTCACAGTGCAACTCAAATGTGTTGAAATCACCATTTAATAAGATAAA